GTGGTAAGCACTAGTAGATGTTTATTAAATGAAAGAAGGTATGATTGATCTAAACTCTAACTGGAAAGGAATTAACTGGAAGGCAATAGAGGGAAGGGATGGCAAGCAGAGGAAACAGGATGAGCACAGGACCTGTATGGGGAGAAAGTGAGTGAGTAGGTTGCATTTGAGAGACTGGACGGGAGCTGTGTGTTAAGGGTGGGGAGCAGTGAGGCCAGGGCTCTTGCACAGAAGTTTCCCTCTTTTTTCAGACAGTAGTTGATTTTCAGCAGTGAGCATCACCATGTGATTTTGGAAAGATTTCTTTCCTGCTTTGTGGAAGGCAGTCTGGCAGGGCTTGTGGGATGTGATTGACTGCCGAAAGAAAGCAAAGAATGACACCTAGATTTCCGCTTTTGCCACGTGGTTTAATGACCAGACTGTTTCATAAGGTAGGAGCACTAGAAGAGAACATGGCAGCGAAGAACATGGATTTTGTCTTCAGTGTGTTGAGCTTGAAGTGCAGTGGAGTCGTGTAAGTGGCTGATGAGTGCAGTCTGGGCTGGAGTTGCAGACCTAAGGATGGTCCTTGTACAGGTTCTGGATGAAGCCATGGACATGGGTGCAATGCCTGGGAAAGAGAGAAATGGGATGAGAAGTGGGCCTGCGCATGGAGAACACTGCAATGTTGGATGAGTGGACAGCAGAGCGTGACATTACAAAAAAGCTGGAGAAGTAGGAAGAGACAGCTTCCCTGGGAAGTGTGGGGTTCTGGAAGGCCAAAGGAACTAATGTTTTAGAATGAGGAAGTCATCCACCTGTCCAGTGTTGAAGGAATGAACACTGAAAAATATCTTTTATTTGGATGTACCCTGAAGGTACCATAGGGATAGAAACCAGATTGGAATGAACGGAGATGAGGCAGTGAAGCCTTAAGTACAGGCAACTCTCCAGAGAAGTGTGGCTGTGTTGGAAGAGGGAGTTAGGAGCTGGCCGGGGAAGTAGGATTAAGGGAAGTTTTATTTTAAAATAGATAGTTAGGGGCCTGGGGTTTAGTTCAGCAAAAGTGGCTTCTTGGCAAATGTGAGGTCATGAGTTCAATCCCTGGCATCAAAAAAATAATAATATAAAATAAAATAGATAATTGTAAGTAATCCTGAATTTTCTGGCTACATTATGACTTTCACATTGAGAGGGAGTAGCTGCATTGATAAGAGTGGCTTTTGGTGGAGAGTGCCCTGTGCAAAGCTGGAGGCCTGCTATGCTGGTCTCGCTGGGTCCTGAGTTGGTTTTCTGTGCAGCTGCGTGATGGCCTGAGCGTGTGTGGCAGGGGATGGGCTTGCTCACCAAGGACCTGTGCAGGCCTTAGCCAGGGTTGATGAAGGGAGATGGGAGCTGGAAGCTGCTTGTGGAGGAAACAGAGGAGAGGGTGGGCAGGTAGGAGTCATGTGCTGCCTTTCCTGAAGTACTTGGTTCAGGGAGTTGTCGGGAAGAAATGTGGAGGAAAGCATGGAGGTTCATTACTGGGGAGACATTACTAGGGACACAGAAGGATTGAAGTGAGCATAGGGATGGATATTTAGGGAGCCATTCTCAGCCTCTTTGGAACTCAGAAGGGCTCCTAGGGGCAGAACTTTTACCCCTGAAGAGATTGCCTGAGCGGCTCACTGTTTTGTGAGTGCTTCCCATTCCTGCTGCCATTCAAATTGTGATCTCAGTATCTTGAGGTTTGAATCAAGTAAGCACTGGTACCATTTATTTTGATTTATCTTTTACAAAATGTTAAGAGTAAGCTTGATGCCAGTTTTACTCTGGAACAGATCATTTTTAGTGGTCTTTCCAGAGAGATTGGATAGCTTAGTCTGGAGGTAGGCTGCCAGGATTTGAATTTGTGTTCTCCTGTTGAAAGCTGAGTAAGTAACTTCTGATAAGTTACTTTGCCTATCCAATGTCTCAGTTTTCTTGTCTGCCAACTTAAAATAATAAGTGTGCCTTCTTAGGACTGTTTGGAGATTGAATGAAAATTGTACATAAAGTACTTGGAACATTGTATCTTTTTTGTTGCAGCTGTGGTATTTGGAAATGCACTCAGGGACTCTGAACCTTTAAGCTATACCACTAGACCACCTTCTTCTTGTTCTTGTTCTTGTTCTTGTTCCTCCTCCTCCTCTTCCTCCTCTTCCTCTTCCTTCTTTCTTCTTTCTTCTTCTTCTTCTTTTTTTTTTTTTTTTTTTTTTTTTTTTTTTTTTGGTATTGGGGATCAAATTCACCATCTCACACTTGCCAGGCAGGTGCTTGTGCCACTGAGTTAAATCTCCGGCCTCTTCTTATTTTTTAAGTCAGGGTCTCACTAAGTGGCCAGGTTGGTCTCACACTTGCTCTCCTGCTTCAGCCTCTTGAGTTGCTGGAATTACAGGCATATAGCTCTGTGCCTGGCTTTGTGACACGTTTTTTTTTTTTTTTTTTGGTCTTTTTCCTTTTTATTGGTACCAGGGATCGAACTCATGACTACCTGCTTGCAAGGCAGGCGCTTATGCTGCTGAGCTAAATCCCCAGCCCCTTGTGACACTTTTTTATGTGTAGTTCAGGTTGAACCCAGGACCTTGGTTTGCACTAAACTGAAACCATCCCCCGCCTTTTTAAGAAGAGTCTTGCTAAGTCACTAAATTGCCCAGGCTGGGTAATTCTCCCTCAGCCTCACAGAGTGCTGAGATTAGTAGTGTGTGTCTCTGCACCCAGCATGTATACATTTTAAGTGTATACATTTTAAGTGCTCAGAAATGAGGCAGTGGTGGCAAACCTGTGGTGTGCAAATGGCAGCTAGTTGGTTGGGGTTCATGTCACTGAAAAGTCTTTTTTTAAAGATCTGTATGGGGGATTGAATTCACAACCATACACTTGCAAGGCAGGCGCTTATGCCTCTGAGCTAAATCCCCAGCTCCACTGAAAAGTCTTAAACAGATGCATCACTGGTTTGGGGCTTTGGTGCTGTGGTTCCATTGTTAAAGCACCAGAGGGCAGCAAAGCTCTAGTGTTCAGTGTATCCAAATTCACCATAAAGAGCTCCTTGGCTGGATTAATTTATTTTCCTCTTCAGATCCCTAGTTTGTGCAAGGTGAAATATTTTGTTTTCTTTTGCCTTCAGGCTTCTTTCAAACTTTAGATTGAAATTTGTTTGTTTTGAGACTGTTATATTTTATTCATAAAAATTTTAAAACTGTTTTGGTTCAAGTAGCAAATAAGAACATTGTATAGTATAGAGTAGTTGTTAGAAAAGCAACAAGCCAGTGCTTAGCTCTCCCTCCCCTGCTCCCTGTCCTCCAAGAGCACCACTTTCAGCTGGTTTTATTGCCATGTCTTTCTTTTTTTGGTCTTTTTGAGACAGGATTTCCCTATGCAGTTTAGGCTAGTCATGAATTCATTTTGCAGCCCAGGCTGCAAACTCGCAGTGATCCTCCTGCCTCAGCCTTCTGAGTATTAAGATTATAGGCATGTACTACCATATCTGGCTTTTGCCATATAACTTCGAACAACTGAATCTTAGATTACTTCAACCAAAGTGTTTAGCAATCTATTGCATAGCATCTCTTGGAACTTGATAGGCTAGATGTTGTGGAGCTTTTGTTACACACTCCTACCCCAAGCTTGGGTGATGGGTGCTCAGTGCTCAGATAACTAGTGTAGAGGAAGTGATTAGGACAGCGTGATGAGTGCTGTGGGAACCCTGTGGCACACACCTGTAAGCAAGACCCTGTCTCAAAAACCAAAAATAAAAAAATAAAAAAGGAGTGCTGGAGAGGAAGGGTGCCTGTCCTTTTCTGTCCTGTCCTGAGATGACTGCCAGCAAAACTGAGGAAGAGCTGTGTGTGAGCATGTGAGGAGAGTTGAGAATAGGACCTGGTTTGGCTCATGGGAAGGACCAGGGAGAAGTTGTGCCTGCAGGGGGAATGGCAGGACTGAAGCACCAAGTGACACAAGCATGGCTCAGCTGGAGGGTGATTCTCTGGAGTGGGAGGTGGTGGTGTAATGCAGCTGGCACAGAGGGAGGGCTCATCATGGAGGCATTTCAGCTGTGTCAGAAACTGTGTGTCTTATAAGATAAATAGGGAACCACCAAAAAGTTTTAATGCTAAAACAATGTGGGCACATGTGTCTTTTGTATATGTCAGTCTTGAAACAGTGTGTGGAATCTATTGCATGGCTTGGGATTGATTAAGAAATGGCAAAGAGCCGCCTTAAGATAAGGACAAAGCCAGAAGGTTGGGATTGAAAATTGAAGGAGGTCGAATTGGTAGACTTGGAGGGAGAGGAAAAGTCAAGAATGAGTTCTCACTTCCTGTTCGTGTAGTGCAGCTGGATGCAATGCCTATAATTGAGCCCTATATAGGTAAAGAAAGAGAAAATTTTAAAGTGGTCATGGTGGTGGTACACATCGGTAATCAGAATGGCTGTGAGTTCAAGGCCAGTCTGGGCTAGATAGTGAGCCAGGGCCAACGTGAAGTACATAGTAAGTTTGTCTCAAAAAAAAAAGGATTTTGTGGTCATTTTAGATTTATAGAGCCTGATTTGGCTATGGAGACATCTCAGTGGAGACATCAGTATAATTGGAATCAGAGGATACTCTTATTACTTATTGTCTTCGTTATTTTCCACAGGTTACTTACCAGTTCCAAGCCCCTTTTCTGTTAAAGAGAGTGATGATAATATCTATCAAAGATCTGTACGTTCTTTAAAAGAAGGGCATAACGAACCTGGCATAGGTCATAGAGCAAGGATCAGTAAAGCAGTTTGTTCCTTTTTGGGGGGATTAGGAGTAGTGTGCCCTCAGGCTTGCTGCTTTTTATTTGAAGTCAGCAATTTGTAGCTCAGTGTCCTATGGAAAATAAATACTTAAATCGTGCAATCTGTGTAGCTCATACTTCAACACATTATAGATGGCTTACAATTTTATGTCACCCTGAATACCTTTGCTTTTCCTAGTCATTATGTACTGCTTAACATTGATGTTCTCCTTGTTTTAGAAAGCATGCACCTTCATCAAATCTAACCTTGATCCCAGCAATGTGGATTCCCTCTTCTATGCTGCCCAATCCAGCCAGGTCCTCTCAGGGTGTGAGGTGAGTCCAGATTTCTACATTGACATTTACTTTAAACTGTAAACGCATTGTTAAAGTAGGAAGTTATGTTACATTATTTATATTTTGTTTTTTGGGGGGGTTGTTAGACAGATGCAGGGCCTCTTGCATGCTAGGCAAGTGCTTTACCACTGAGTCATACCTTCACCTGTGTTATTTTTTATTTAAAAATGAGACTTCATTGGTGTGTGTGGGCATTCCATTCCTGTGGTTCTTTTTGTCCTTAAGGTTTTCACTTTTCATGGGTTTAAAGTAAGTTTGTCCTGCAATTGTTGCCTGTTCCTGAGATGGCCTTGAGTTTTTCTTTAATACTTAAAAATGTTCTAAAGTGTGCCCCTACCTGAGAGTTCTGAATCATTTTATTTGATGTATGAGAACCATGTAGGTAGATAAGTAACTTGTCAGCCTCTTTTAAAAAGGATTGTGCTGAAGTTTTGGACTATTTAATTCTCTGGTCTAGGGAGTAGTGGAGTAGTTAGCAGGTGCTGAGTGTGACATGTCAGCTGCCACAAATTGCCAGAATTTGCTAAAATTCTTATCTGTCACTCTTTTCCTAGATCTCTATTTCAAATGAAACCAAAGATCTACTTCTGGCGGCTGTCAGTGAAGATTCATCTGTTAGCCAGATCTACCATGCAGTTGCAGCCCTCAGTGGCTTTGGTCTTCCTGTGGCATCCCAGGAAGCACTTGGTGCCCTTACTGTTCGTCTTGGCAAGGAAGAAACAGTGCTGGCGTGAGTTGTCAGTGATTCTTGGACTTTCTTTGGGTTGTACCCTATCCTGAGAGGGATTTTTCACTGATATGGCAAATGCTTGCAAGGTACTATATGCCAGGTACTCTGCTGGACACAGCAGACATAGCACTGAACTAAGGCAGTAAAGTCCTGTCCTCAGTGCCTACATAGACACCATCTTCTGCAGGCTGCTCAGGCAGGAGGCAAGTATTTGCATCATTGTGAACTCATGGGCATGGAGAGACAGAGCTGTACTTTGAGGTTAATGATTAGAGCAAGGGCAGGTGACTGAAAGATGGTAAGGCCTGTGGGCTGCATGTGTCTGCTCTTGAGGCTTGGCTGGGCAAGTGAGATGTTGGCAGGGAAGGCTCTGAAAAGGAGGAGGGCTTTCAGCATCCCTTGAAGTGGTGAAAGGAGCTGTGAGCACTTAAGAGGGTAGGAAGCAGACTCTCCTGTTCTCAAAAGGAGTAGGCAGGGGAGAAGTACCTTGTAGTAAAGGAGCTTTGAGCAGCTTTCCTGTATATCAAGTTTCTTATTTACTTACTATACTGAAGATTGAACCCGGGGCCTTATTGCATACTAGCTAAGCACTAGGCCACATCCACTGGCCTGGAACTTGTGTTCCTCCTCCCTCAGCCTCTTGAGTAGCTGCAATTACATGTGTGTGCCACTACATCCAGCTTTTTCTTCTTATTATAAAAGGGAATCTTAGCCAGGTGTGGGACATGTTTATAATCCCATTACTTTGGGAGGCTGATTTAGGAGGATTACAGATTTGAAGCCAGACAGGTTAGTAATTTAGTGAGATCTTGTCTCAAAATGAAAAGATTTTATTTATTTTTTAAAATGTATTTTAAAGAGAGTAAAGCCAAACTATAAATAATAAATAATACAACAATAATAAAATGAAACAAAACAAGGTAAAATGAGAATGATACTGGATTTAAAAAAAACGAGACAGTAGGAAATCAATAATAGTTACTATATTGCATATTGTTATCCTCTAAATAGTTGCTCAGACTACCAGATACAGACATGCAAAGTTAAGCAACATTGTTGTTTCTTTAGTTGCTACCACTTCAGAAATTGTATGTGTGTGGTTTCTAATTTCTTCTATGTTTGTGTCTCTTAGACTTGTTCTGAATAAGATAGAGGCATGCAAAATTAGTCAAACAATATAAGCACTAAGTTGTTTCTTTACTTCAGTTGCTGTCATTTCAGAAATTTCAGGTGTGTGGCTTCTAATTTCTTTTTCTTTTTTTTGTCTTTTTCCTTTTTATCGGTAGCAGAGATCGAACTCACGACTGCCTGCTTGCAGGGCAGGCGCTTATGCCGCTGAGCTAAATCCCCAGCCCCATGGCTTCTAATTTCTTTTGCGTCTGTCTCCTGGACTTGTTCTGGGTGGGCTGGGGTCCAGATTGCACCTTGCTACTTTGTGTTGTCGTTTTCCTGTGTTCCTCTGAATCAGCTGGCTGTTGAATCCTGGGTGCTTGCTGCACTGACTACCTGTCCTGTGGTACAGGGGTTTGCCCTAGGTTCCTTAGATCTGGGGTTCCTGGAATGGTGGAGAGGTGTGGAGCAGTGGTGCATTAGGGCATGACTTCTCTGGGCCTGTGGTAGCACAGGCTCATAAAAACTATTTAAATGGACTGGGGATATAGCTGAGGGCAAAGGCCTTGGGAATCAGTCACCAGTTTAGAGACTGAGAGGGTAATCTTGAAGCTTACTTTAGGATGTTTACTAAATTTAAAAGTAATGATATACTTTCAGGTTTGGTGGCACTTGCCTGTAATCCCAGCACTTGTGAGGCTGAGGCAGGAGCATTACCTTGAGTTCAAGGCCAACCTGAGCTATATAGTGAGTTCAGTGTACAGTGAGACCCTGTCTCAAAAAACAAACAAACAAACAAATGTAATGATATACTTAGTAGTTTTTTCTGTAACACTAAACTTCTGAAGAATTTTTTGTTCTTTTCTCCCCCACCTGCATTTAATTGCATCCCTTGAAGAGGATGTGGAGCCCCTGGAGGGTGTTGATTATTTAGCCAAAGGTTGGTGTTACCAGTTCCCCCTTTCAGAACAGTGAGATTATCCCCACTACCACCACAAATCCCCCTTGTCTTTTTTTGCTGCCAACCATCTTGTCTCTAAATTTAAGCTTTGTTAACGGCAGGGTTCAATTAACCTTCTCTGTCACTACCCCTCTTCTTACTCAAAGGTGTTTTGGGGCTGGTTCTTTTCCCAGGGCTGAGGTTCTGTAGGTGTTTGCCCAGCACTTAGTCCCTGTAGTCCTTTGATTTCAGGTCAGCTGAGCTAAGTCGTAATGCCTTTTGATGGAATGTTTCCCCAGTTACTAACATCTTGTGTTGTAATCAATACCTTGCCCTGATGCCATTCATTACAGAAAACCTTCCCATTTCCCTCCAAGCAACTAGAAATCTTCTTCAGAAACCCAAGAAGCAAGGAGAAGTACTAGAAAAGTACACCTGCTTTGGAGTCAGACAGACTTGGGTTTGAACACAAGCCGTGCTCCCTCCTTGCCTGCTCTGTAGCTTTGGGCAAGATAACTAACTTCTTTGAGCCTCACTTGTAAAATGGAACCAGTAATTCTTACTCCATGGAGCAGATGTCAGGATGGAGTGAAATAACAGATGGGAAGAGCTTGGTGCAGTGCCAGTTCCTGAGGGAGTGTAGGAAACAGTTCCTTTTCTTGAGCATTTCTTTCTTAGGTACCTTTCCTAAGGGGGCCAGATACTTTCTTGGTTCCTTTCTCACTTCTTCTTGCTCTTCCTTTCTCTCTCTCTCTCTCTCTCTCTCTCTCTCTCTCTCTCTCTCTCTCTCTCAGGGGCTTGCTGTGTAGTTCAGACTGGCCTTGAATTTGTTGTGATCCTCCTTCCTCAGCCCTGAGAAATGGGATTATAAGTTTGTGCTACCACAACCAGCTCTGTGGTTATTTCTGTATTAGATCATAAGCTTCTTTATTTGCAGTGCTTACATAGCCTGGCAAATTGAAAGTGGCAATAAAGAGTTAATAAAGGCTAAAACTATACTTTTTTGTTTCTGCTGTCTTATGAAAGCTTAGAGGTAGAAAGCTCTCATGCTTCAGATCAAATGGAAGCATGTTGCAACTCCCTGAAACCTCAGTGCTTTCACAGGTAAAATCCAGAGAATAGTATCTTTCTCGCAGTGTTGTTGTGAAGATTGAATTGGTAGGGTGTTCTTTGTTTATATACTGTTAATTACTTCTGTTTAGGGAAATCTGATATAAACTGGGACATTTTGAAATAAACCTTTTATACTTAAGTAGAGTTATTCTAGGAAATATATGCTCATAAACCTGTCTTGAAAAGAGAAGATGTAAGTTGGAATATACTATTTGACAAGATGTCATTGCAATTGCTCATATACCAATTTCTCTGAATCTTCTGCTGTATATTAGCAAGACAAAATCTGCTTTTTTTGTGTTTGAAAGAAATTACTTCAAAGAGAAAGAAATTACTGGCTGGAGAATAAATAATTAAAGCCTGTGACTAAACTTTTCTAAAGCTAAGTGGATTAATTTAATTCTAAAACCTATGAGATTCTTACTAGCATGGAACTGTGTTGTTCTAGAGAAGAGAAAAAAACAATATTTTAATTGAATTGAAAAGTTCTTTGTAGGCAATCTTAGCCATTTCTGAAGTCAGCACTTATCATGGACAGGTTTTATCTCATTTGAAAATTCACATTTCATTTTCTTAAGTGCATTGTAACAACAAGCATCCCATAGGAGCTGTTGATTGTTCATGGGCTTCTCGCTTCATGAATTGTGACTCCTGTTTTCCAGCCTGTTGTCTAAATGGAATTAGTTTTCCATGGAAGAAATTTAAATTGTTATGATCTCAACATAAGTAGACAGATTCTTGCTCTACATTCACTGACACATTGACTTGGTGAGCAGTGGTTTCCACAAGGACCTAGCCATCTCTTAGGAATTAGGAAACCATTCGGAGCTTGGGCAGCAGACAGTGTGACCGCCAGAGGGCTTCGACTTTCCTCAGTTTACCCTGAGATATACCATTTATATTCTCCTAACTGCATTAGAATAGATGCTAATAAAAAATCATGCATATGCATACCTATCATGTTCCATCTTTCTATAAGTTTGTCTTACAGAATGCACTCATAAAATGGACAAACTATATGAATAAGCAGTATGAATGAAGTACTGATACAGTGTTCCATGTGTGAATCTTAAAAACATCATGCTAAGTCAAAGAAGCAAACATAAAAGGTCGTGTATGGGTGACCCAGTGAGTGAGATGAAGGCGGCGGCAGGCGTTGGTTGCTCGTTGCCCTCTGACTGGGACTGGCGGTTAGTGGTGGAGCAGGCAGCTTGAGGCAGCTCTGGGGAGGACTCAGATTGTTTGGAGTCAGCACTTTGATTCCAGCCATGGGTTTGTCAGCATCTACTCCTGCTGTTGCAGTTCAGACCCCAAATGCTTCAGATCATCAGACAGCATCACCACCTTCAGGATGCCCAGTGCGTGAAAGGAAGAGTCGAGGCTGTCCGATAAGGGAGGAACACTCTAGTCCAGCTAGTGACAGCAACTTACTCTGTGCCTGCCCACCAGGATCGAGCGTACGAGTATGTGGAGTGCTCCTTTACCGTGCCAGGGCCAATGAGGAGAACCTGGATCCTTCAAACCTGATGCCACCACCTACTCAAACACCAGCCCCAGATCAGCCATTTGCTTTGTCTACAGTCAGAGAAGAATCATCCGTTCCAAGAGCAGACTCTGAGAAAAAGTGGGTCTGCCCTTTGGAACGGATGTCCTGGAATGCAGTGCTAAGGAAAGGGTGGAGGTGGAAGGATGAGGATATTAGTCAGAAAGGTGTGTATAATGTCACTGAGGTTCAAGTCAGAATAACGAGCAGGCTGCAAGGCGATTTTGAAGTGGGAAGGCCTTCATGCTGCAGAGTGTCCTCGTTGATCCGGTTCTGAGGGAAAGCAAAGCAGTA